TATGAGCTACTGCGACTGGCCTGGAGAGTAGTTAATTTAAATAATTAACTTTATTACTTTTTCTCAATAATTTGAGACCACTGAAATCTATAGCACTTCCTAGATTTGGCTCTGTTCCTCTTGCTTGTCTTTCCTTCTGTAGAAGACTCTTTTGCAGTGATGACTAAATCACATAGATGCCAACAAAGCTGTGTGCTTAAATAAGCACTTCGCTTTTTCAAAGCAACATTATGGTCACAATGAATATTTCACTTTCCATCATTCTACACTTTTGCATAGTTTTTCTTTTCTCAGATTATTCGAATCCACAAAGCAAGGGCCAAGGATCCAGTGTACCCTCCTTAAAAAAAAATTAATTGGAAGGCCCTTAGGCTGAGATGGTGCTTTGGGTCCTACATAAGCAAAACAAAACCCAACTCAGTATAAACAGTAAAAGGAAACAGGCGTAACCAATCAGAAACCGCCAACTAACCTCCAACTGGAGACTTACCAATCAGAAACTGCCAATAACCTCCAACTGGAGGCTTACCAATTAGAAGCCATGAACTAACCTCTGTATCTGGGGACTTCCACTCTAACCAATCAAATGTTTGTTTTGCTTGTGCAAACACCTTACAAAATCAGCTGTCCCCTCAAGGGAGCCAAAACCTTTGTGATTTGGCACTGATTCATGAATCTGTTTGCTCAAGTAAACTCCCTAAAATTTTAATGTGGCTAATTTTATCTTTTAACATCCTTCATCCTTTCATTTCTCTGCTATGTTTTAACATGACACATGACACATTTAAAAGTGAGGCTGGGCCAGGCCTCCCCCAAGAGACCATTGATAGAATTATGCAAGAGGAATGATGAATCAGAAGTAGGTGAGGTTCTCTGAGGCATTGTAGTCAGGGATAACCACAGAAGCAAAACTGTACAGGCCATGGCTCTGGCAGAGCACAAACCTGGGGGCAGGTGTTAGGAAGAGGGGGCCTTGCGGACATCTGACGGCAGCACTCTGGGGTCACCTGGCAACCGGTCATAACAAAATGATCACTGAAGGCTTCCAGGGCAAGCAATGCCTGGGGCTCTGGCCCTTTGTCTGTTAAATCAGTGGTCCCCAACCTTTTTGGCATCAGGGGCTAGTTTCATGGAAGACAATTTTTCCCTCCATGGACCGGGGGTGTGGTGGTTTCAGGATGATTCAAGCCATTTACATTTATTGTGCACTTTATTTCTATTATTATTACATTGTTAACCTCTCTGCTAATGATCATCTGTATCTGCAGCTGCTCCCCAGTGCTAGCATCACCACCTCAGCCCCATCTCAGACATCAGGCATTAGGTTCTCATAAGGAGCATGCAACCTAGATCCCTCGAGCGGGTAGTTTACAGTAGGGGTCACGCTTCTATGAGAATCTAATGCTGCCGCTGATCTGAGAGGGGGCAGAGACAGGTGGCAATGTGAGCAAAGAGGAGTGGCTGTAAATACAGCTGAAGCTTCACTCTGCCGCTCACCTCTTGCTGTGCGGTCTGGTTCCTAACACGCCAGCCATGGACTGGTACCAGTCTGCAGCGCAAGGGTTGGGGACTACAGCATTAAATGGAAGAGTGAAGAAGAAATAACCCCCTGACTAATGAAATCACTGCTGTGAGTGGGAAGGGATGATCTGTGAGCAAAGGCAATCCAGGAAATACTGGACAAGCCTGCTTGGCCGGAGAGAAAGCAAGGCATGAAGGCAGATGGATGGCAGCCTGGTGAGCCCTATGGAGGGCCTCTGACACACACATGCAGTCCTGAGCTGATGCTGGTGACAACAGGAGCCTGCTGCCATGTCTAGCAAAGCAGGATTTAAAGCTGAGGGTAGGGAAAGAGCGTGGGGGGCGGGGGAAGGGTGAGGAAGCCCCACGAGGACCAAAACCCCAAAACCGGTGACTAGGACCTGGACTAGGGCACCACCACAGGGAAACGGAACAGAGGGCCAGGGAACAGGATGAACACAGGGGAGGCAGAGGAGGGAACATCACTGTGACCAGAGTGTCAGACCTCAGTAAGGAGGAGAGCAGAGGACGAAGGTCGTAGGACAGAATAAAGCACAGGCTGAGGAGGGCCCTTGGGTGAGAAGGTGGGAGGCCCGGTAAGAGGCAGGAGAACGCACCTGTCTCAGGTAGCTGGCACCAAGCCAGATGCTCTCCATGCTCAGGAAGACTAGGAACCGAGTGAGAAGACACTGCCTCTGCCCCCAAGACCCCACACACCCTGGGGCTAAAAGGAAGAGGCTTCAGCGCAGAAAGAAGGCAGGCAACTCCTGTCCCTACTATGGGCTCTAAAGGCATTCCTGAAGACGTCCCTTTACTCTCCTTGGGGGAAACAGGCAGTGCTGGGCCTTGCTCTGCATCACAGCTTTGCCCCGTTCCCCTCCCAGTGAGGCCGCCCTCCCCTCCCGGCACTTTTGCCCAAAAGATCCTGCAGATCCCCCATAACCTTTTGCCCCTCCACTGACAAGGAATATCGTGTCTCTGCGTGCCCCGTACCAAAGCAGGGCCGTAAGTCGGTCCTCAGTGAATGTCTGCTGGACAAACACATAAAAACGTGCAGGTCTCCTCTATCTCACAAGCAAACACAGCTTTCCTTTCCTTTCCTTTCCCTTCCTCCTTGAGCTAACTGTTCCATCCTCATTGACCCCTGAACTGTCAGTCGCTCTGGGAACAGCTGCAGTCCTGCTGTCTTTGGGCCTCCCTGTCTGTGGCAAGCACCTGGGCTTTGCCTGGTCCTCGCTGCTCCCACGAGGGGCTCACACTCCTCAGGGCAGGCCCCGCCTCACTCCTTCTCAACCCCATGGCTCCGCACGTGGCAGGGGCTCTGTGGACACCCCTCGAGTTCTGCAAGGTGCTACCCACTAGGCCTTGCCAGCACCCCCCCAGGCTCAGCTTTCTCCTGCCTCCCGCACAGCTCGGGCTTATGTTCACGCAGCCTCCTCTCTCGCTAAGTCTCGTATCATCTGCAGTTCCCCACACTAACACGGGGCCCCGCATGGTTCACAGGCCCTGCTGGGATGGTTTATTGCCAGTGCTAAATGCTGTTTCCACCTCACTTCTCTTCCAAGTGCTCACCGACTTAGGTCAAATGACTGTTTAATAAATTAGTTGGTTGAGTAGAATGGAAAATGTTTATCTTTTCTATTTAGAAAACTTAAATGTCCCCAAACCACACAGACTATGTATACAGGAACATATACAACTTAAAAAGTCCACCAATTTTAAAAACTATACCTGATCTGGCAAACCATTCTGGAGCAGTTTTTAAGACCACTAGTCTGGGAATCAGTCTAGCCCCAGCAATCCCCTGTCCAGCAGCCTTGGGTAGAACACCCGCCTGCTGTGTCTCAGTGCTCTCACATGTATGACATGATCTACTCAAGTTCTGTCACTCCAGAGGTGCCTTTGGCCCTATGGGAGGCTGCATTCGTTCTCCCCACAAGTGAGCCTGGGCACAATTAAACATGACGTGTTAAGTTTGAAAGTTTCAACTCAGGTTTTCAGACAAAACATTGTTTCCAATGCCACATCTTCATTGGCACGGAAGGCTGGCAGCAGTGTGCATAAATGACCCACAAAGTACACACATGGATATGCGTGCACAGCAATGCAAAATAGTGCATTATTTACTGAGCAGTCAGTTGTGCCAGCACCATGCAAGCATTTTAGGGAGTTGCCTTTGCTTAAAATGCATGCCAGACCCACAGGGCGGTACCATCACCATGCCCATTTTACAGGTGGGCAACACCTGGTGCAGAGCAGCTTGGTTAACTTACCTGAGGTTGTGAGTGATGGGGTTGGGATGGCACCTAACAGTCTGACCCCAGAGCTTGCTTCTAGCTATTAGAAAAACAGATAGACACAGCTTCTGGAGCATTTATGGAAAAGTACATACAGATAGGAAGGTCTGAATGATATTCAAATTTCAGCAATGTTTGATCATTTTACCAAAAAAATCCAGCAGTCTGACTATTCAGTGGTAAAGAGTTTCAGGTACACAGCATTCGCTAAGCCTTTGTAAAGTGCCCACATAAAAGCGGAATGGGAATACCGACTACATCAGGTAGGTAAAAGGTGCCGGTATGCAGGGAACTTATGTACTGAGAACCGTACTGGGTCCCAGATACTTGTTCTGGCACCGGAGCTGGGAAGCCTGTCCTTTCTCCTTACTGGAATGTAAGATACAAAGAGAAAGAAGAGAGGCTTATAAACACACAATGAATTCTTCCTATCTCTCTAGGAAGTGGGTGTTTTAAGGAGGTTCAACTTTCTCTGCTGCAGAGAGATCCTTTTTAAAACAGAACAAAAACAAAAGATTTAGAAGTCATCTTTAGGACTTCATTTGTTAAGGTTTAAGGTTGTTGCCTGCAAAGTCATTATGCAAGCCCTGGGGACCCCTGCATTTTGTGGAGGTGAAAGACCCTGAAAGTGATCAAGCTTGCAGTGGGGAAACCACGAAGCAGGTTTAGGAGACCAGGCTTCCAAGTTGCAGCTGGATCACTCGGCTAGGAGAAAACAGCTCCACCAGTTCCACCACCAAAGATGCCGAAAGGAGCAAGGACAGAAAAGGAGCAATAATACACGGTGGATAAGGTGACGTGAGACCATCAGCATTCTAATTTGGACCCTTAAGTCTTGATCTGAGGGAACAAAACCAAGGATTATTGTACTTTCCAGATCACAGTTTCACAATTTTTCTATCACTCCCTTTCAATCCTTTCTAATCGTCTCTCACTTTTTTCCAGACTAATCCCTACTTGTTTCTCAACTGAATCCCGGGGCGAGGGGGCACAGGGACAGCACACCCGGCCCGCAGGGGAAGGGACCAGCACAGAGAGGACGCCAAGGCGGGCGGGCAGGGGCGCGGGGCAGGAGGTGACCCCCGCGGGAGGCGCGGGGACTCGGGCGGGAGGCAAGCAGGGGACCAGGACCAGGGCCAGGGCCAGGGCCAGGGCGGGGGGAGGCGCGGGGTCCGGCGTTACCGCTGCGTGTAGTGGGCGAGGAACATGGCCAGTAGGACGCGGTTGGGCGCGCTGCGGAGGCGCTCGGGAGACGCGCGGGCGCACTCGTACAGCGGCACGGCCAGCGAGGGCAGCTCCTGCACGGCCCAGGCGGTCCGCGCCGGCACCCGGGGGCCGGAGCTCGGCGAGGAGTGGCGGCCGTAGGGCGGGTCCACGAACGAGAGCACCGCGAAGCCCGCCAGGGCCAGCAGGCACTCCAGGTAGGCGAGCGCGTCCAGCGGGCGCTCCTGCTCCTGCGCCAGCGCCATCGCCATCGCCGCGGAGGGACGGTTCGCTCCATGCCCCGGCGCCCGCGGCGGCCCACATATAGGGCGCCGGCGAGGGGCGGAGGCGCGGCACCCTGATGCCCGAGCGCCTGCGACGCCCTCTCACCAGGGCGGCGCCCAGACCCCGCCGGCCAGCCCTGGCATCGCGCGGGGCGGGGTGGGGCCGGGCACCTGTGAGGGCGGGGCGGGGCGGGGCCTGCCACGGGCCGGCCCCCGCTCGGCCGTCGGAGCCTCGCCCCGCGCCGCTCTGCGCACGCGCCGACCTCGGGCTGGCCGGGGAACTGCCTGAGCCCGCGGGCGAGACCGGGTCGCTTCGCGCGAGGATGCCTTTGGTGCTGTTCCCTGGAGCCTTTTTCCCCCTCCGGGCTGTCCGCAATTTTCTGTCGCACGTTGTCTCCCGGGAGGGCGGATTGCGGCGCTTTTGGATTAATTCTCGAGAGTCCCTGCAGGCTCCTGAAAGGCCGGGCCCAGACGCGTGGGGGCCTCGCGTTCCGGCCGGAAGTGCCGCTCGCTGCTCGGCGGTGGCGGGCAGGTGTCTACGAGCGGCCTGCGCGGCCGCGTGGGCCATGGGGCGGCGGTCGCGGGGCCGGCGGCTCCAGCAGCAGCAGCGGCCCGAGGGCGCGGAGGACGGCGCCGAGGGCGGCGGGAAGCGCGGCGAGGCGGTAGGAGCCGAGGGTGGCGGGCAGACAGGGGCCCCGCCTGTGCCTCCCCGACCCCAGGCCTGCGGGGCGGCGGCTCGGGGCAGCTCCTCGGGCCTCGGGGTACGATTCTCTTTCCTTCCTTAGGGCTGGGAAGGCGGGTACCCTGAGATCGTCAAGGAGAACAAGCTGTTCGAGCACTATTACCAGGAGCTCAAGATCGTGCCCGAGGGCGAGTGGGACCAGTTCATGGGCGCACTCAGGGAGCCTCTCCCGGCCACTTTAAGAATTACTGGTTACAAAAGGTAAGGGGGCTGTGCTTTCATTTTCTGGGGAATTGGGGCTAGGATGCCCGAGGTTAAAAGCGAGGTGGTTTTCTCCGAAGTTTTATAGTGCCAGCGAACCGCTGCATTTCAGCGATGTAGACTCAGGGAGCACTGAAGAGGGAGGACAAGGGTCCGATGACATAGCGAAGTATTGCAGGTGAAAGATTGGAGTAAGAAGTGGAAATGCAATCAAAGAAAGGTTTGGATTCTGATTATTGGTGAGCTGCGGAGCCTACAAGAGGATTTGTAGAGAATTTATGACATTGAATATGGATGAAATCGTCTGGTCTTTTTTTTTCAGTCTTTATAGTTAAATTTTTGCAAATGAGTTTTAAGTAAGAATGAAACCGTGGGTATATTTAGAAGAGAAGAAACGCAGTTTTGTTCTTCGGGATCAGACAGTGAAGATTCTTTAAATTTTGAAGGGACACAGGAAAAAGACAGTGACTAAAGAATGTTTCTCTCCATGTAAAGTTGGATCTAGTTTTAAAACACTTGCAGTCTTAAAAAAGATACAATGTATTAACTTAGTTTTTTAGATTAGTTTGAAACTCTCTTGTTTTTTAAAAGCCATGCAAAAGAGATTCTCCATTGCTTAAAGAACAAGTATTTCAAGGAATTGGAGGACTTGGAGGTGGACGGTCAGAAAGTTGACGTTCCACAGCCACTGAGTTGGTAGGTACCACCACACTTAATCATGTTGGGTATTTCCTTTTTTTCTTCTTTTTTTAAGTTTTTTTTTTTTAATTTCACAAGTAGATGCTGACAGACATGTTGGGTATTTCTTTGGGATATTAATCTCTGTCACTTGAATATATTCCTTGGTACTGCATTTGCTATTAAATCAAAAGAGCGTGAATGTATTTCCAGATATCCTAATGTTCTTTTACCCAATGCTTTTATCAACATTATGTTGCTATGCAAATTTTCATAGGTATTTTACAGCTCTCTATTTGAGACACGAAGTTCAGTTAACTCTTCTTAGTAGATCCAGCCTTTCTTTCCTTGATATTACCGCTTCTACCATCTCCGTATTACAGCCTTTGTTTTCTCACATCAACTTTTGCAGAGTGTGTTCTCTGCCTTCAGAAAAAAGACAGACTTAACCTGAGGAAGGGTCGCCACAGCCTGCTGTCAGGTAGTCTCCTGGTAGTTCTCAGTGCAGACTGGGCTGGTCCATGCAGTCTCCCACCACCTCAGCACCCAAGCACATTGCTGCTCTGCGTGCTGCCCTTTCTTTACCTGTCCCGGAGGTGTCCTCTGGGCTACCTGTTCCTCCTGGCCCAGTTCAAGTCTCAGTTGTGTGAAGGTGATCCCTTGGGCCGGCAGCATAGGTGTCTTGCAAACACTTGCAGTCTTAAAAAGAGTACTCTGGAGGTGCCATGCCCTGGGTTAATTTGTACATGTAAAAATTGTTAAAGCAAAAATTGTTATGGTTTCATATTTGAAATTACTAACATTGAGGTATTGAGTTTTTAGAATAGAAATGTTTTAAATAATTTTTATAAAAAGATCAATTAAGCGTTTTACATCAACCCTTGAGGTTTTGACCATTCATGTGCGTTGCGTTTGTTGTCTTACCTTTTTGTTTTGTTTTTGCTGTTGTTTTTGAGACAGAGTCTCACTCTGTGCCCTGGGTAGAGTACAGTGGCGTCATTGTAGCTCACTGCAACTTCAAACTGCTGGGCTCAAGCCCTCCTGAGCAGCTGGGACTACAGATGCTGGCCACCATGCCCAGTTAATTTTTCTATTTTTACTAGAGATGGGGTCACACTCTTGCTCAGGCTGGTCTCAAGCTCCTGGCCTCAAGCTATCCTCCCGCCTTGGCCTCCCAGAGCGCTACAATTACAGGTGTGAGCCACGACACCTAACCTGTTGTCTTACCTTTTTAGATAGCCTTTAGTGATTACAAACCAAGGTCAGGTTTTCATTAATCATGGGTTACAAATTTGCTCGCTTTTCTTTCATTGGCCTTACGGACTTTCAGTGTCCATATCACAGACAGGCACGGCATACACATTTTGAATGAGTGTTGACTGGGCAAACACTAAATTGATAATTCAGCCAAGATCAAAACCAAATGTACCATTGTTGAATGTGTTTCTAGGATAAATTTGCAATTTTCTGCCAAAAAATTCAGTGATGGTTTTTTAATGACATATTTTAGTAAGATTTTAAAAGCTTGAAGGGTACAGTACAGGAAAGTGATTCAGGTGCTGGGTCGCTGTTGGTGGTTACTGATTGTGCGTCTGCAGTAGTGAGGTCAGTGGGAAAGGAAGATGTTCAGCCTTTGGTTATGGCATTGCTGAGGTGAAGTGACCTTCACAGGATCAAGCTTTTCTTCTGAATAGTAACTAGATTTTGAAGATTTTGTTGATTGTACTGATGCTCGTGCATTGCTTAGGGTAGAGGCCATCTGGCATTGCCCCAAACGGTTATAGCTGTCCTTAGGCAACTTCTATTTTGTAGTTTTGCATGTATTTGCTGCTTTACACAATCACCTGAAAACATTTTCTCCTATACCCTTGTGTCTGTGCAGTGAGGGGGTAAGATGTCTTTTTCCTCTGGTCCCAGCCGGTAGGAGCATTTCAGCACATATCTGTAGGGCGGAGGTGCACTCTCAAGGCCTGTCATCGAGATCATTTTCTTCTGCACTTTCCAGCAAACTATGAGAAACCATGGGTTGCTAATAAGTCTTGCTATTTTGTTGTTCTGCAAACTACAGTTATACTTATTTGGTTAGCCCTGTTTAACATTTAACAGCTGCTTTTTCCATCGTGTTTGTTGAACATTATCTATGGGTACATGAGGAGGCGAAGTTCCTAAACTCCTTAGAAAGCCCTGCAGGTTGTCTGAGTTGAAGAATGAAAGTGAATCATTCTCTGCCGGCAGCCAGCAACTCTTATGCTATTTTTTGCTTTAATTTTCTGAACACACAGCTGAAGGGTATGAACAAAAACGTATGATTTGGGTTCCTGATACTTGGCTTTTACTGTTATCAATGACAGTTTCTTGACAGCTTTATTCTATAAACATTTATTCATTCAAATTCACTTGTCAGTTGTGGGATACTCATAAATCTCAGCAAGCAAGTAAAGCATAAACTTTCCAAGACTTCTAGTGGTTTTTTTGTATTGTTCAGAGTGCAGAAATAGGTCATATAACATTCTTCCTGATCCTTTCGTATACAGCAGAACATAATTCAGGAAAGTGTGTTTTGGAACTGCATTTTCTAGAAGGAATGTTATAGTGTAGGACTATAGCTTTGGCTGATGGAGTTTTTTCTTACTTTCCACCGACTCAGAATGGTAAGCTATTATCCCAAAGCACTTACTGATTTGACAAATCATTTGGTCAGAACACACCTTATTGTTACTCTGTTCATGTGCTTGTTAATGTCTGGGTTGAAGATGATTTGCCATAGATCTTGTATATGTTTACAAAGTTTTTATCCCCTTGAGAATTTTTGATACACAAAGGTGACAATGGTGCTTGTAATTTATCATCACGAAAGTCCATATAGGACTTTTTCTTAAGACTCATGAGCTAAATTTGAATTAAGTACCAAAAAATTAAATGCAGTTCTTCAAGATTGTTTTATTTGTTGTTAAAGTCTACAGAGATTTTACTAAACATTTATTGGCTCAAAAAAGATGAAGCTGTTCCTAAAGCTATATAAGAAACATACTTTTTATTATTTTACTGTTAGTCTTTGTAGTTAACTCTTTGAAAGTTATTAAATGTTTTTATTCATAAGATTAACCTCTTTCACAGTTATAAATACAGTAAGATTTTAATCCCATAGTAGTAAATTTACGTTTTAACTATTAGAAATTCAATCTGTAAGGCACATACGGAGATATTTGTTATATCTAGACTGCTTATGAAAATTCAGCTATTTACAGTAAGTCTGTATGGCATGTTCATTTTTGGCGATATGATAAGGTGGTAACTTATGTGAAATCCTACTGTCGTTGATCACAGAGAAGTTCAGGATTGCCGGAAATTATGTAAGAGTGAGCATTTGGCTATTCACAAACAGAGGTTGCAGTGGCACAGCAGATTTTGCTCAATACCACAATGAAAGCCAAATTTGAGTCCATCCTACTATTTGGCCCTAGTGAGGCCAAAAGGGTATTTAAAACTAAATTCTTTTTTATATGATTTACTTTTGGCTTTATATTTTTCAAACAAGTTAAACATTGAAGAGAGAAGCAGGAGTAGGAAATAGAATCAAAGCACTGGAACATTTGAAGAGTGACCATGAACAGATTCAGCCAGTTTAATCTTCATTATTTGGTAGAAAATACTTTTCAAATGTATTTTATAATATTATGACTCTTGAGCAGTGTCTTCAGTTCTTAAGGCCTGAGTTTGTTTCCATCAAGTAATCATTCAAAGTTTCAAAGCAGTCAAATGTATTTGTATTTCCCAAACATCCCATTTTAATTTTCATCGATCGCACTCTGGCTACAATTTGACGCATGGAGGCATCGTAACCTTGCTTTGTCAAATTGGGCTTATTTTTATACCTCAGACTTAGTAAGTGCTAAAACTGCAGTAAGGTTTATGGCCAGGAGATGTGTTATGCTTAGCTTGTCGTTGGGTGCATTGAGCATAGTGCTGTGTGTCACATCACTGTATTCACTTGTGCAGGTGCAGAGTAGTGGACGAGTGCAGGCCAAGTTTAAAAACACATCCTTCCCAACCAATGACATCATCATCTATAGGAAGTTCAAATATTAATATATTCACAGAAATGGCAGGAGACACTTCATTCTTAGGTATATGTAGGTAACAATCAGCCTAGGGCTCAAATTAATGTATTAGGGGTTCCCAAGGTTGTTTTTTTTGTTGTTGTTTATTTGTTTTGGTGTATACAACCTTTTAGTACATTATTGAACTGGTTTGTTTTTAGCAATAGTGAAAAAATACGTTTTTTAAAAACTAATCAAATGTTTGTCAAGCACTCTGACTACTGTCCTCCAGCATTATGTTGATTCTGTGCAACCTGTGTTTCCCTAACATTTAAGTAACTCATCATTTGCCATCTTTTTTTTTTATGATGACCTCTATACCATTGTTAACATAGTGAAGAGCAGAAGAGTCTCCACTCTTTCATCTGATCATGAACATTGCCTCATTATAATTCTACAGTAATATCATGTGCATGTGTCTCTTGTAACCACTGTGGCTCTCCTGTCTCTGACTGGGCCCTGGCGTAGTTAGAACCAAGCTCCTTTTTCCCCGAGGACATCACCAAGTGTTGCTGACTGTGCTTGAGGATTGTGAATGTGAACGAGGAGAATAAAATTGAATGTCTCATTTGGCATAGGACCTGTATAAGCAAGAAATCGTCAAGAGACCACTTTATATATAATCCATACATGTTTTACTTTCTTATTGGTCAGGTATCCTGAAGAACTTGCCTGGCACACAAATTTAAGTCGAAAAATCTTAAGAAAATCTCCACAGTTGGAAAAGTTTCATCAGTTTCTAGTTAGCGAAACTGAATCTGTAAGTAGATTTCTTTGGATTTGTTGGTTTCCTTAAAGCTTTTCGGGCACAGATGTATTGTGGTTGTCTTTTTATCCTGCTTGTCACTGGAAGTGACAGGTAGACAAAACACACAGAAAAGATGAGTGTGCGCACCACCACCTTTAATTTCTGATCATTTGTATCATGTATCTGCTGTCTTGTTTGGCTTGTCCAATCATGCAATTTATTAACGGTATCAGTCACAGTTGTCTGTTTGCTCTATTGTTTTCTTTTACCCATGGATTCGGGTGGCTGTAGAATTGGGGTGAGCACTGTACTTTGTTGACAGCACGTCGTTCAGGACAGATACTTAGTCCACTTTCATTTCCTCCTCAGGTGCACCTGCCAGGTGCCTGCCCTGCAGATAAAGTATTTATGTTTTCAAGGCCATCTTGGTGGGGTATGGGATTTTTGTTTGTTTGTTTTTAATATATTTTATTAAAAGTGAGACTTGTGATTTTACTTTTTATCATCTCTATTTTTTCTTGCCACGCATTGTACCTGTACTTTGCCAGAAAAACAAAACACCCAGGCACAACTTTGATTCTCATGAGGCATCTGTTGTCACCTTCTTGGTTTCTTTGCCACCCACATTTCTTCATTGCAGTTCAGGTGCTCAACTTCTTACCTTTAACATCAAACCATCCCTAACAAAATAGCTGTTTGCTCATGTAATGAATATTTAAATGAATGCCCGTAAAGTTTGGATATTATAAGCTTTTTCTTTGGAGTTCTTAATGTCACATTGAAAATCAGAGGTTTCCTCCTTCATAATTTCTTATCTATTAATACTTTCTAGGCAAGTAAAACTTCTATGTGTCACCAGTTTATGGTTTTTTTTCTTTTCACTCTAAACTTACAGAAATGTGCTTCCGATGTTTTTTCATTGAAGCCTTTAACCAATTTGGAAGCCCTTCACCTCAGTTCTAATCTCAACTCTAAGCTCTTCGCACCCTACAGCTGTTTCTTATCTCTGTGGCTTTCTCTGCATTTCAGTAGCCTTTTAAAGTGGGCTTCTGTTTACCTGGCTTTTCCTCCTTGAATAGTAATAAGAACCAAGAACTAAGTTCTGCCACATACGCTGTACTTGTGGCCAGTACAGGAAGAGATTCTCTTACTCAGCTTTTAATCTAGATGGAAGGTCAAGCAAGGATAAAGAAACTGTTAGAGAACAATTCAGGTTTGCATTTTGAATAGAGTAGAGGGTTTATGGGGAATATTGTGATACACAGTTGGATAGATTTGAAGAGCCAGGTTTTGGCACTTTGGAAAGGTGGAGGTAATGGTAGTTTTAGTGTGGGTAGCAGCTGTTGTGGGAAACCGATCTAGATTTTTGATCAGGAGTCAGCATGATGAGAGCTCTCGAGATTAACGGTGACACCCTCTGGGTTATTCAAAGCCGGCTGCAAAACCTCTTCAGAGAGTGTTTATAATCAAGTGACTAATTGCTGGGGTGTCTGGGGCCTGGGGTGTCTGACTTCCTCATCCTGCTTAATGCTTTAATTGAAAACTTGCATGGAAACAGAAGGCAAGCATATCAGAATCACATTATAACCCAAAAGCTTGGAGTCAGTGTGCCTAGTGAGTGACTCAAGATTCAAATAGTCACTGTAGACTCACTGCTGGCCAGAAACCCATGAGGTGACAGCAGGGATAAAGGTAAAAGTCTGTCCGTTAGATGCCTAAGTTTAAGGTGAGTAACAGCTGGTCAAGTACAAAAGGCCAGGGTTGTAGGGTCCTAACGGAGCAGAAGCCTCAGGCGTGAGGCTGTTAGAAGAGAGCTGTGGCTTAGGCAAGTGCTGGGCCACATCAGGAGAATTTTGTCCACCTCTGAACAGTTGCACCTTTTAACAGATGCCCTGGCCTGCTAGAGAAGATGTAGATGGTGAGGAATTCTAGACAATGATGATCTGAGGAAGGAAAGATGGGAGCATTGGTTGATGTCTTTGTCTCTTTGAAAGAAAGAGGAATTATGAGGAATAGAAAGTGGATGTGGGCTGTTTCTGAAAACATGATGACTGAGAAATAGATGCTAGAATTTTAGTCGAGGGAAAAACCACGTGGCAGTAACTTTCTGTCCTGTGCTAAGCTGATGCTCCCTGTTGCTGAAGGTTTTTACACAGCAGTCTGCCTCGGAGAGGTGCTTGTCCAGCTTCCATGCTCTTACGATGGGGACCTGGGACTGCAAGTGTAAAACCCCTTTTCTTTTATGAAAGTCAGTACCTGCAGTAGGTTTCGGTATTAATGGTTATGCGTAGTTAGCCTTTAGATAGCTTTATCCATTAGTACAAAATCTGTTCTCATTTAATATAGTAGGAATTCTTTCGTTCTGTGTAAGATTATGTGGTCTTTTTCTGTTGAATTTAAAACAATGCCCGATATTAAAATTTTCTATTTTTTTTATTGTTAATTTTTTTCCCCAAGGGAAATATCAGCCGTCAAGAAGCGGTTAGCATGATCCCACCGCTGCTGCTCAATGTCCAGCCTCATCACAAGGTAGCAGACTTTAACTAGAAACCTGGGGTGTGTCAAGCAGGGTCCATAAGAAAAAGAAACACGGGGGTGGATAGCTTGTTAATCAGTTTTTGTTGAA